GTGAAATAAAGGAAGTATTTCAATTGCGAAAAATTTCGAGTATCATATGTCAACGAAAATATCCATTTTGTCTGCTCTTGAATCTATTTAAATGATACTTTTGCTTGACATCCGTATGTACGGGTAGAATAAAGATCTCTCTTTTTTTTTTTTTTTTTTTTCCTGTGTGGTCCTCCTTAAAAGACAAGTTGTATGGAAAGAAGCTGCGAACCACCCGACAGCTTAAAACCAATATTTGACGAAAAATTCAAGCGTTAGAACCCGAAACTCTGATTTTGTTGAGAATTTCTTGGACATCAAATCGAGACTAAATATAGCCGCCACTTGCCAGATGATATTCTTAAAACATAATAAAATCCTACGTTAACCCGAAACTCTGATAAGAGTTGTGAAGAATTTTTTTTTTTTTTTCCCATGGAAAGCATGGATGTTTGTAAATGTATAGTGTCTATGCAGCATGGGGCACTCAAAATATGCGGCGAGCCGAAAGTCCTCTCGAGAGGTTGCTAGTAGGAGAATAGGGTGGGATACCGTCCCCCTTCGAGGTGCTCTACTTCAAAATTTGTGGGGGGGGAGGGGTAACTGAACAAAATCGTACTGTCACCTGTATGATGCCCAAGGCTCTTGCCATGGTGAGTTTCGTAGGCTTGCTCTGATATCAGAATAAGTGACAGTCACAACAAAAAACAACAACGCACATTCATTTATTTCCAAGCGATCTCTTAAAATGAGAACAGCAAACAAACGGAATAATGTACGAAAATTTTTGTTTTTGCAATATGATTTAATATGCTCTTTGCAGTAATTTTGACGATGTTTCACAGAATTATAAAATGGCATATTCGTAACACTAGAGGGCTCACCAGCGGCCGAGCGGTAAAGCCGCTGAGCACTGGTAGTTCGGTCCGAGGTTCGAATCCCGCGAACGGGCTGGCTGCATGGGCGCTTTCGTGGTTTTCCCCATGTGTAACGTGTATACGAGCCAATTTCCCTTAGAAAGTCCTCCACGAAGGCATCCCTTCCCTTAGGCCGATAGCCCTCGAGGCTTTGCCGTAATTAAATAACCTAACTCTAACCGTAACACTAGAAACACATAAATATGACTATTGACTTGTTAAACATGTATTATATGTTATTTTCAAATAAACCAAATTTAAATTTGAGTGCATGTGTAAGTAGTGTAAAATGTAATCTTGCTTCCCATTGTAGCTTACAGACATTTATACTACATTGCTGTTTCTTTTTTTTTAATATAGTATATGCATACACTACTGGCAAACATTACATTTGCACGAAAGGGACTACATGTTGATGTACGCAAATGAACAGCACACATAACTGTCAGATTAGTACCTGACACAGTTTCTTTTCATGCATGATTTTAGTCAAGAGCCAATAAAGCAGCATACAATATATATTTAGAGCTACTCTTGAACGAATTTCAAGTAAGAAAAAATGCGCGTTTAATGAATGAATATAGAACATTAAAATCAAATTTTATTGATCAATAAATGCTGAAAATGTCCTAAACATTATCAGTTGTACATCTCTACATACAACAAAAGAAAGAGTCGGTCTGTGTGTGTGTCTTTCGTTCGTGCTGAGCGTAAGCTAATAGACCCAGGGCTACGAAATTCGGTACATAGGTGCATCTAGACAAGAGCCAGTGCACCTCGAAGAGAATTTTTTAATTTTATCTTTTTTGATGAAATCGCATCATTTTGAATAGTTTCATTCTTTTAGATGTGTGGTTTTACCAACAGTTTTTCATTTAATGCTTTGTATACTGGACTGCTGAAAATATGAGATAAAATGCTGCTTATTTTCTTTTGATTTTTGGACACGCAACACGCACATCGCAATCTTCTTATTCTGACGTGCATGTATCTCGCGAAGCACAACAGAAGGAATTTCCTTTTTTCCCCCTCCTCTGTCTTTATTAGATAATGGCAAAACGGTTTGTATATTGGGAATTATGTCATCAACAAAGCACAATTTTGATTGGTTATTGCTTTTGATGATAGTTTCATTCTTTTAGAAATGTGGGTTTGGCAACTGTTTTTCATTCGTTGCTTTAAATACTGGATTGCTGACTGTTTTCTCTTGAAAATGTGGGATTGATTGCTTATTATATTTGTCATTTTTTATATTATGTTTTAATTATATAAATGTTTTGCATGATTTTTTTAGAAAACCAAGTTCTTAACTTCCTTTATACCATTTGAATTCTTAAGATTTTGCAACGGGAAGTTGGTTAATTTATTTATTAAGATAAATAATGTTTGTATTAAGGGATAGTGCTTATTTCATTGTAATGTTTTTAATATGTAATACATTTTTATTTAATTTATATATATATATATATATGTGTGTGTGTGTATATATATATATATATAAAGTTGTTTTGTAAAGTAAAATTCTGTGCAGGTTTTAAATTTATGTCTGGTGTTCCCTTTAGGCACTTTTACGGTACATTTAAAAGCCAGATGAAGGCTGGAAGCGTAGCGGCTAGTATTATGTAAATTAGGCCTAAAATAAACTGACGGTTTAAATTTATTTTAGGTCAAGGCACTAGTCACTGTTTTTCACCGAACAAATTTAGATTATTAAAATTATATTAAACCAAAGGATAGCGGTAACTTGTCAACAGTGACCCACGATGTAATAACATCATCCGTATGGGTCGAGGCAGTAAGTAAATTATTCAAAAAAAAAAATGAATCTAAAGCCATCAGCATAGTATAACAAAGTACAATTATCATGAAATAGATTTGTTTTTAAGCAAATACATATTAATTAAATTGAAAAGTTAAAATATTATGTTTTGGCCAACTGGCAATGCTGGGAAAAATGGTTGCCGATGAAGCTGCGTAGCAGAAAAATTAGAGATACCACGTTTTGCCTAAATGGCAACGGTCTGAAAAATTGTTGCCTGCAAATCTGCGTCGAATATAAATTCAAAATCTTTAGTTTCGTTCAATGACAGCACCTGAATTATAAATGCAACGTTAAGAGCTAAGCGAAGATTTTCATTTCATTTACGACGTTTTACAAATCTTGATGATTTCTTCTGGCTTCCTTTACCTCTACGTTTTCACTTCCCCATCTGATGCTCATCGGGAGCTAGTCAGGACGGCAACTTCTCTGTCATGAATATATTTTATTTATTCTTATCTTTTTTGTTTGTACATTATTTGTTTTTTTGTATTTGTTGACATAAAGCTTCCAGATCATGAAAGTAAAAATTTTTATTTGTATCTTTAATGTCAAATGCCAGTTAGGAATTTCATCCATCAGCGGTACTTCTGAACAATGCTTTACGTATAATAATAATAATAAGAAGAAGAAGAAGAAGAAAACCTCTTGAGGAATTTTCCATAGGGTCTGATTGGCTCTAAGAGCCATACCGGTTATGGTAGTTATCGTTTTATTGTTACTGAGTCTCGCGTTTTTCTGCTTTTAACGAGTACCATTATCGAGCTAGTTTTAAGTTAGTTTCCTGTCAGATACACAGGTGGCATAGATCGAGAAATCGAATGAAATTCGAAGTAGGATTTGCGAATTTAGAGGTAAATAATAATTTCAAAGAAGAAACTCCTGCATTGAACTAGAGAATGTTGATTTTGTTTGCTTACGTCCCAAAATCGCAACTTAACAAAGGGCTGAAATAAAATATCAATAAAAATGTTTGGTCTTGCGAAAAAGCATTTTCTAGCATCAGAATTAAATCAAAAGAAACTAATAATTTAGACAAACTATTAAAATAAATTTAAACGAGATACAGTGATACTCGTCAAGGTCATTGAGTCCTATAGATTCATGTCATCAGCGGTTAAAACATAAGTTGTTGGTGTAAGCAAGGCACCAAGTTTAAAGTTTTAAAATAAAATTAATCTGGAAACTAGAGGTGAAGGCCAAGGTCACTGGTGAATGGTAACCTTAATAGTCACCAGTTTGAAATAGTGCAATGTCTCACGCTATGACAAACCTTGCCGAAGCTCATGGATGCTAAGCGCACGGCAGTGTATCGTGACGTAACGTAAACTCCAAAAATGTTGAAAAAGTTACACTAAGCATGTTTCTGGAGTCAAAGTGAATGCGTTACCAACCAGACGTGAATAAGAGTAGTAACATGACATTAATATGATTGACTAACTTTTCATTAACATGACATTAATATGATTGAGAAAATTTCATTAAGAGAACACCGCATTTAGGAAGTAAGACTGACAAAAATCAATTGTTCTTGAAGTTTAGGTACGGTTTGGAGCCTTCTGATTGCATTTCTAGCATTTCTTTTCAGGATTTAAATCCTGAAAAGAAATGTTAGTCACTTACCATTCAGCCGGAGCTCAGCTCTAACGGGTTTCAGTTAGTAATCTTCATGAATGTTCATCTTGGTCATTAAACTTGAAATTTGTTGGAAGCCAAAATAAGGCAGCAGTTTTGTCTGACGGTGAAAAATACAGTTTTGAATACTTTGATTTATCCTCAGTAAGTGTCTTTACCATTATTTTATTCATCTTACATTTATTATTTCACTTTGTTCTGATTAAAATTTCTAAATTCATTATTAGTTTACTAGCTTTTCATTCGTTCTATCAATTTAATTTAATTTTTACCTATTTATTGATGATTTAATTTAATTTAAGTAATAAGCATCTGCTTTATTTCTCTATATGTTATTAAATTTTAACTATACATTTTTTATTTAATTTTGGTCTTTGGTCACCGCTTCTGAACATCTCTCATAGAACTCTAATATTTCTAATTTTAGAGATTAGGCTAAAAATACGTACGGTATTTAAAGTTTTGGAATAACTTTTCTGAACTGCTGTAATTAATTAAATTTTATGGAGAAATCAAATGCTTCGGATTTTTTCGGCGATATTTTAGCTTGTTCATTTTTGTTTCAGAATCTGAAGCAATATTTTGTTTATTCACTAACCATTTTTAATCTTTACTGAGTTTCTAACAACAGAAGCAAATGAGGTGAGAGATCAGTTCTGTAAAATATTTATTTAAAGAAGCAAGATACATGATACAAAAAGGCCCACAAAGGTATTGAGAATTTCTCATCGAGAAATATTACACAGATTATCTTCCGACATAAGCTGTTCATATAAAAAGTGATTGACTATGGTTATCTAGTAATACTGCACGGACAATTATTTCCTTACAGTCGTAAAACTAAATCAATACACAGAAATTAGGAACTAACAAAACAAAAACAATCGGGAAGAGAATTCACAAGCAAAATACGGTAATAATACATTTCAAGTAAGTAATATTTATCACTAAAATAACATCTTTACGCATAAAAGATGCTCACCGTAATTCATAAAAGAGCTTACTGAAATATAAACAATTATTAAAAAATTATAACATAAATGCTATACTGGATACATAATTGCAATATAAAAAAACAACACACTAAGCATACTCAATCAAAAATATTGGTACTAGTAAAGATAAAAAAAAATGGAAGATATAAACATGGATTTTCATATAATATTTCAAAAAAGGATCTTCGTTAGAACTGAAAGAAAGCTTGGTACGTCTGTGTTGCATATCGTTATATCACAAAATACACTGGTGGCTTGGCAAAAAGGAGAAATTCGAAAATTGTCACATAAACATGGCGTAATTCTCACTTGCTAAAACTCTAGCAGCATTGAGCCATTGAAATTGATCGTTTGGCTAGAGAAAACTATAATTTTTGTTCTGGGAACAATGGACCAGCCATTTATTCCGCCCTTTTCTTTAATTAGTCTCAGTCTTTCGTTTGTAGCATTTATTCAATATAAAAAGAATATTTTTTTTATCTCCTAAACAGATCGCTTCCGTAGACATGAAAAATAAAGCTTTCAGTATGCATTGAAAATTATATTAAAAACTTTTGTATGTACTTGGAATGAGATAGCTTTTTGATTTCTCCCAGCTTTGAGGTAAATAAATTTATTGTTTAAACTACAGTTTGCTTCATTCTGTAGAAGATTATACAGAATAAATTAGCTCGTAAACGTCGCATTTCATATAAAATATAAGAAATATATTCAGCGGTCTATTTAAAAATTTTTTTAAAAAAACCTATTATTGTAAGCCTACATAAATTAGTTCATACATTTATGATTCCATATGCACATTCAGTTAAACTCAACGCTATAACCACTAAGTTAAAGTTTGCTATTCATTTGTATGAATATAATTATATTTTTTATTATTTCTAATAAAAATTAAAACGGGGGTCTACATCATTTAGAATAAAAGTAAAATACTTAATATGCACTTAGCCGATTTAAAAAAATCATACGTGCAATAGAATATCATACTTAATGTTAGGGTTACTGTGGTTTAAATATTTTCCCACAATTATTAAGTCTCGTAACAGCCTCCTACATTTCACTTAAGCTACGATTTTTAAAGCTGCACTTATTCTATTCTATTAATTCTACAAAGTGCCTTGATTTATGGGAAAAAATACAATCATAATGTTACAAAAATATTATCCAATCACACACAGTTGAAAAATTAATGTAACAGCAAATGAGATTTCAACATGCTATGATAGCGGAAGTGGGAAAGAGTTTTGTTTCTTGGAGCAATTTTCAGTCTTTCATTTCCTTTAGCCACCAGGAGTTTTGTTATGTTTCGTCTGCTTGTCCAATCAATGGAAGACAAAGGAGAAAGGGGGAAGGAAATCAAGGAAGAAGTTTTCCGGAATGCCACAATCTCCTGTTGGTCTTCTAGAAAATTCCAGATGATCGGCCGCCTGGCGGATTACGGATGCGCATATTTCCATTCATTGGACTCTCGGGCGTGGTATGACCACTAGCTGTTGAAGGGAAAAAAAGAAATTTGTACATTATGATAATTGATATAAAATTGTAGTGCCATAACATTTTTGATAAATGAAAATACACTCATGTCCATAAATTAAGGATAATTCGGAGTCACGCGGAAATCGAACTCTAAAATAAATATATCACCTGTAAAATCCCTACACACATCTTCAAGAATCATATGCAAATTTCAGGAAGCAACCAGATGACACCGATGGTCCGTCACAATGACGAGAGTGTAAGAGAGTGATATATAAGGAATACAGGCAAAGAAGTAAAATTGTTCGCAGGCGCTTTATAAGCATTTCAGTGCAATAACCGCAAAGGACGCATTTGGATGATTTTTTACGTGGTAGAATTATCGGCCGTCTGGAATGTGGGCGTACCCAACTGGAAGTATCAGACGAACGTGGAATTGACCAGAGTGTCATCTTCAGGCTCTGGCAACGATTCCAAGATGATGGTAATGTGAGTAGACGTTACATCACAGGTCGCCCCAGAGTTACAATGCCGAATGAGGACCGGTATTTGGCAGTTACTGCCAAAAGAAACAGGCGGAGCACAGCCTCAGACCTGTCTCGTCAGCTCTCTTCAGCCACTGGTACGACAATTTCAAGGCAGACCGTGTACAGACCCTTAAGGCAGATTGGTCTATATGCTCGTAGACCTGTCAGATGCGTTCCACATACTGAAACTCACTGTCGCCTGCGGTTAGTCTGGAGTAGAGAGCATGCATCGTAGACACCGCAACAGTGGGTTTGTGTGTGAGGTTTTCCGACGAGTCCAGGTTTAGCTTGCAGTCTGATTCTCGCCGGACTTTCATATGGAGAGCTCCAGGTACCTGTTACCACCAAGAAGACATCATTGAACGCCACCGTTACGGTGGTGCAGGAGTGCTCAATTGGGGTGGAATTATTCTGGGTTTCAGAACTGACCTGCATGTTCAAATTGGAACCATGACAAGCCAAATCTATCGGGACGTTATTCTGGAACAACATGTACGTTTGTTTCGGGGCGCCATGGGCGCACAATTTGTGTTTATGGATAACAATGCCCGTCCTCACCGTGCAAACATCATAAGCGAATGCCTTCAATCGGAGGATATCACCCGTATGGACTGGCCAGCATTCTCACCTGACTTGAATCCAGTAGAGCACGTGTGGGACATGCTTGGCCGACGAGTTGCAGCCCGTCAACCTCCTCCTACATGTCTACCGGAACTTTGGAGAGCATTGCTTTTTGAGTGGTGTAATATCCCCCAAGATCAGATCGATAATTTGATACTCAGCATGCCTAGGCGTTGTACGGACTGTATTGCATCGTCTGGGAGACATGCAATGTATTAACAATCATACCAACCATGTAATATTGTTTTTTTGTAAATAGGTTTTTTTTTTTGTAATTTGCTCGAGGAAGAAAAAATCGCTAATTTTTTTAATAATATCAAACATATAGCATCTTTTTTTTTGTTCTTTACCTCTTGTTTAATAAATAAGCTTTACAAATAAGTCAAATTTGTTTTGCTTCTAACTCTTCCTTTGCTTGATTTTGCATTATCCTTTAATTTATGGACATGAGTGTAATTCCCACTTAAGACAAGCTGACAGCTAAAACATTCCCAATGAAATCATATATATATATATATGTAATGTTATATATATATATATATATATATATATATAATCAATCCTTCCCATTGAAATTATACAGTGACAGTCAAAATGTTCATATTTCATTTAGCATTTTATTAATAAAAGAGAGCCCCAGATTACGAATTTCCTGTTGTTGAGCTATTAAATATATCGAAACAATCAAAATTCAAAATTGAGCGAAACAGAAAACGTCTTAGTAAAGCTATGAATACGTGGACCAAGATCTAGAGGAATCAAGAGGTATGGGCTAATCCAATCTACTCTGTAGGAAAGCCGAAATACCGCAGAAAGTTTCAGAAGAATACTTCCTTTATCCCAATGGAATAAGCCACAAACAAGCATGGAAAAAATCCCAGATCTTCAATAATGGTAAAGCCATTTTAAAGTTGCGATTATTATAGAATCTGAATTACGCAGTTGAAGATAAGGGTGGATAAAATGTCTCGCTACCGTTTACAATGAGACAGAGCTCAGACACTACGCGACCCAGAACAATGCAGATTTTTGTAAACCTCTTTACAAGTTTTACATTTACTGCACCTCGACGTGTTGCCCATTCATTGCCCTCAAGATGTTCAGACGATATTCCAGTTCTACTCATGTTGCACCATAACAACATCCATAATCTCCACAGATTCTATCCATCTGCAAAGTGTAGGAAAATCTGGAGAGTAAGGATTCTGAGTCGACGTTTTCCTGCCTCCACACTCGCCTAATGCCATCCTTTTAGAATTTGATTTTCTTCGGGCTACATCAAATATTATATTTGTCATACCTCTATTCTAGATCTTCCTAAACGTTATAATCGGATATATAAAACTGTGCAGAATACAGGTGCAGGTGTACTACTAAATAGGGAACGCGTACGGATAGAATAGGAATATTTAATATTCCTGATATCAAGAGTTACACTGTGGTGTAGCAAATACAAATAAAAATTGGTGCGATGTAAAACATTTTCCAAAAATCCTGCATTGTTTTAGTTCTTGCACCGTCAAGTCATGATTATTTGCAATGGTACTGACACCTTGTATCCAGTCCGTTACATGGCAACTTTTAAATCCGTAAGTCAAAGGAATTAGAATCAGTTTCGAACTATGTCGCGTAAGGAACAGAGTAAATATCGAAAAACTTATTACGGCAAAATGAAACTTTCGGCCATTTGTAGCATTTTTATATCTGATTCATTTCAATACGTTTAACGACATCGATCATTTCATATGTTGAATAGTTCTGAAATATTACAATCAAGGCACTCATTGTCAATGAGTATGTATATTTATTTGCTATATTATAGGCTCAGTTTTATTTGGATCATATTTAATTATGCGCCATTAGCAAAAATAAAAACTATGAATTTCATGCTATTCTTTGCAGGGTTGAAACTGGAAGCGAGAGTTAAAAAAGACCTGCAGACCTTACTAGACAAATAAAACATTCTTTTTATTTAGTTTTTTATCTAAAAGTACATGCACGAATTCTGCTACACACGAAACTTCTACCGCTTGGCGATATTTAAATTAATATAAGAGATAATTAAATTCAAATGTTGATAGCGTAGTGAAGACTACATATTACATAGACTAAAAATACATTGGTTCAGAATATTTTATCTGTGAGTAATTAAAACGTCGGCTAGCGTGGATGCTAAAGTCAGAATATTAATTATAAGGAGAGTTGGCTAAAAATATTAAGAGCAAAACACGACTGCAAGCAGCTCTCTCAAATAAAGATTCAAAACACTCAGCTTAAATACACACTAAGCTAATTTGTATTCTAATGTGGAATACGGAAAGGAAAAGTAATAATAACTGGTTAACTTAAATCATAGTAACTTTTTAACTAACATAAGGTACTTTATCCATTAACTGGCAAATCAAACATCCTGTATTCTTAATAAAACTTTTCAACTGTTCTGTGAATAACGAACACTAGAAGGCTTTAACAGAATGTACTTTTGTGAGATAAATTGTGAGAAAAGATTAAGGCACATCAAATACACGCTGATTATGTTCATATTCTTAATTAGATAAGAAGCAGTATATATACACGCATATATATATGTATATAGTTTCAGTATGCTTTTCATTACGTTGAAGACACAAATTTTATTCCTATGACAAATAGATATGCATGTGGAAATATACATAAATCCCATAAACGAAATATTGTAGACATAAAAGCAATTGCATAAATATGTGTGCGTTAAATTATATCGTTGCATTCCTCGTATCATCGTTGCATTCGGATCGTAATACTTTAGCAAATTTCCTTTGAAAAAACAAGAAATGATCCATTCATACCAGTCAAAATTGATCTAATTAAAACTACTGCAACAAGCATACCAAACAATGATATTTATAATACACCCTACAGCAAAGTACGAGTTTAAGGAACAGCACCTTTAAATTCCCCTCTAAAAAGGTGGAAAAATCGTCGCCAACAACGACTTGTGTTTGTGTCGATCTCCTAATCCTGAGGCTAGGTTAAAGTTGAAGAATAATTAAACAAGAGCTAGGTGCTGTATAATATTTTTTATTCCAAATTAATACAAAATAACAGAAGGTACTTAAAGGATATTCCAATTAAACTTGCATTGTTCTTTCATCATTTCCTAAAACAATTTGAAAGAAGTGTGGCTTACTTTTGACTAATTATGTGAGAAATATTAACAAGACTTATAAATTAAACTATACAAAGAGTAACGAAACTATCACTTACATCCATTGGTGTATCCATTGGTTTTGCCATTGGAGGTGCCGTTGGGGGTAGAATCATTGCTTGATCCATTTTCATAAATAGGAGCTCCTGTGATTGGGTTGATCTGATTTCGGCGAACTAATGAATGAAAGACGAAATGATATCAATTAAAACGAATGAAATGAAGTAAAAATAATCTTCATTCATTGATTCTTAAGACTAGAGAAAATGTATCTTCATCAAGACGAAGTACGACAATCAAGTACACAAATACATAAATGTCACAAAGCAGGAGTAAGAAACGAAATTCTAGAAGTGACTGTAAAACTGAATATCAGAAAAATATATTATTAATTCCGTTCAAGGCAGAAAGAAATATTACAGGGCAGTTGATCGCTTGGAATAATAATTTATCAGTCGCTACGAATTAAAACAGTAATATTTCGAGAACAAGAGTAAAAATAATCTCAGGCTCTCTTAGGATTCTGGTGTGCACAGATAAAAAAAGTACTATGACATTATGATGTGCCTTCGTGGTGTGAATGGAAAGCGCACGCCCAGCTGACATTTGGGAGGTCCATAGTTCGAATCCTAGCGAGAGCGTTGCACATTTTTCACGTCTCTTGCTCCAAAATAAAATTTTAATTGTTTTTACAACCTTGTTATTATTAACTAAAGGAAAAAATCTCCGTCTGAATATACTCTTTTAAGATTTCAGGAACCGATGTTGTTTAAAACTGCAATTTCAAAACCTGAAGTTTATATAAATTTTCTAAAAATTCCGCGGAAACAGATGCATGCAAGAACAAATATTTATTATAATATATATAAAAAAGTTTTGTTTTCGTTGTCATATAGAAAATATACAGGGTGCTTCCGAAGTCAACCGACAAATTCAGGGGGATGATAGTAGGCATCAAGAGGATGAAAAACTACTTAAGAACACGGGGTAGCAAACTACATTTAGTGGGTGAAAATCGCAAAAATAGACATCGAGAGGACAGTAAGCCTGACGAAGAGAGTGGCCGAACAAATATAAGGATTAGAAGCACTTCGATGGAGAAGAAGAAACCTCTTCGTATGCAAATTTCCCATGCGTGTGGGAAAAATACTAGCGGTCAGCAAGTATTCATTAGTGGGCATTGCAGAATTCGTGGGTGTTAAATTTAATTCGGAAACAACATGTCAGATTACATAAAAGAGGAATATGCATCTGATTTATGGTCGAGGAAGTGGCAATGGACGCCTAGCACAAAGGATGTACGAAAAGTAATACCAGAGGTGGCATTGTCCGCACCATACCACCTTCACGAACATCGATCGACGCCTACGGGAGACGGGATCCTTCCGAATAAAGAGACGCAATGCAGGCAAAAGCGCAATGTGTGCGCACACCTGAAACAGAAATCCGAGTACTGTAACGGTTTGCCGTCGACCAGTACATGATCGGTTGCGGCTGAAATGAGTATTCGTCTTAAAATGGTATTCATCCCTTCCACGTGCAGTAGGTCCAATTCCTAGGAATGGATACTGTTCCCTTCGGGTAGAGTTCGTACGCTGTATGCTTGATGCCCCACAGTTTAATTCACAGTTTCTCACTACTGTTTTATTCTCAGACAAAGACTGCTTTACGAGAGAAGACATGGTCAACATGCACAATGCGCATATATGATTACCCGAAAATCCCCACGGCACTGTCTTATCGAAAGTGCAAGAAAAATTCGATATTAACATCTGGGCAGGAATTCTCGGCCCGAGCGCCTCAATGGCGCAAATTACCTTGTTTTCCTACAGCACATCCTCCCAGATCTGATGCAAGGAATACCGGCCACTGTGCGCCCAAACGTGTGATTAATGCGTGATGGTGCACAGCACATTTTGCGACTGAGGTGCGTAACTACCTCAATGCTACATATCCCGGGAGGTAGACTGGAGGCGGCGGAACTGTTGCTTGGTCTCCATGCTCCCCGGACCTCAATCCCTTGGATTTCTTTTTCTGGGACCATCTGAAATCGGTTGTTTACCAGACGCTTAGGGATAAACTGAGATATCGTCGTCGCTTCGGCAGACATCGTCAGCATACCGGGTATGTTTGAACGTATTCGGCAATCATTTGTCCGTTGTTTTTGGCTGTGTAATGACCGCGGCCGCAACTTCGACCAAGTCCTATAAAACTCTTTCGTCGTCTTCTTTCTGACGTCGAACTGTGATGCACTGTAATCCTGCTTTACGTCAAATAAAGGTTTTTCTACTTATTATTGCCTCCTTTTCCATTTGATGTCACAGCCTTCATAACTACTATTGCGATTTTCCCACAGTAAATGTGGCATGCACATCACATTACATTCCGCGCAGCGAGCAATCGCTTTACATCAGGAGCGAATTCGGACAGATTCTTGATAATAATATTTTCTAAGATTTTTACAGCTTTAAAAATGGAAAACATGGTAAAGAAAACGAAGTTAAAAAGCAGGGAAATTATAAACAAACAATATATATATATATAATAAATCACTAACCAGGTGTGGATCTGGGTCGTGAATCTACAACTTCTTCTTCGAAGATGGATGACCTCTGCCTATTGACTACTCGGCGAGGAGTCTCTTCATCTGCTGATCCACCAAAGAGCCGTTCTTGTGTATCCAAGAGCTTGGCAGGAGAAATATTAGTGTGTCCATTTTGAGGTTGGGGAGCGTCGGGGGAATCCGGAGAGAAGATGTTCGATTGCATGTAGTTCTTAGTTTTCCTGGGAGTGATCTGCTCCTGGGCTGGACTTCCACCGTTCTGGACACCGAAGATGTCGCTGCATTCACCACCAGGAGGTTTTACAATTCTAGAATTCAGATAAACAATAATACATTAGAAAAGAGGAAAAGAAGTGCAATTGATCATTTAAATGGATTATGTTATACAAACATACACGTAAATTTTTATAGTTATGTAACTGTTACAGCTGGATGTCAAGGGTTGAGCTATTTTTCATTTACGTTTTCCTAATTCTTTAACATGAAAAACTGGATATATTTGTATATGAACTAAAGGACCAGATATATCCCACATCCATTGCAGTTAGGCATCTCTAAGGATTCAAACACGTACATAATATTATTTAACTTTCCTCCCCTTCCAAAAAAATGTCCTACTAGAACAGCCGTGACTATCAGTGCGGTTTGGACGAATGGTGTTTACCAAATACAGTGGATGATTATGATACATAAGACATGGTCGTTTTTATGTTTAATTTCCCTCCTTCACCTACAAATAACCTAACAACATAATTCGAAATGACATAAATATCGCATCAACAATATCACCGCGCAAGTCATTAAACCTAATTAGTTAAAACCTCGCTTTTTATACCTCCTAAGCTGTACGCTCTTCTGCTCAACAGTTCTTAGTTTTTCTAGTTCTTAGTTTTTTCGTGTAACAGACGGGATACTTTAGTTTGACTACAAAATACGTGGTGTAGCGTGGCATGCTCCTCGTGAATAATTATTCTGTTTTCAAAAGCACAAAAAGTGTTTATTGTCGAGGTGTACTATAGAAACAAATCATACGCCTACATTAAGGAATCATTGCGAGTTAGATTTCCAAGTGCTTCTGTGCCAAACAACTCAACAGTAACACGAATTATCAGTCGCCTGCCAGAGAAAGCAGAATTTTTGACTAGTATATATACTTTTATATAAGATCCCAAATGCAATTATATATTTTACTAAATTTTTAAGTTAAGCTTTTCATGACTGTTGTGCCTGTTTCTCTATTCGACAAAAGGTAGTCTCAGAAATTTTATTGTTATAAACTCAATCTGGTCTTCAGTTTGTGTTAATGCAGTCAGCATGGTCCAAATTAAATTTTAATTCTATTCGGTGGTTCTTAATGTCCCTAAATATTATGCAGGTTGTTGCAGTACAACTGTTACATAGTAATCAGATATCTTTTTCAGTGGGTTATGGGTCTGAATTAAGAAGAAGTGCTTACAATAATTTTGAATCTAATTTCACTTAATATAATTTGAATCCAAAACTAAACAGCAGTCGTAAGAAGCTCACTCCATTCAAAGCATGCTCAGCGTAAAGATAATGCAATTTCCTCAATACATAATTTAAATTTATTTTAATGAGCGACAAATTAAATGCAAACGAAACCAAATGACATATTTTACTCAAGACTGAGAACAGAATAAATAATTTTCAAGGACTTTTAAGCTTTCTTTTTCTTCTTCTTCTTCTTCTTTTTTTTTTTTTTTTAAATTAAAAATTACTGTTGTTATCGATGCTTTTAAAGAGAGAGTCGTTCTTGAATGAAACAAATGATTATTAGCACACCTGCAGCTAATTTTGCTCCATACACTTGCTACAATGAATACGAATTCCAGGAAAGAGGCAACACGAAAATTCCTAATAGATAATAATAAACTCCTCACTATTTAACATATCTGCGGCTGTGAGAAGAAGCATTTGAGCTATCCCCTCATCTACTTCTCACCCAACTTAAAAACAAAATATTACATAAACGGTTTTTCTTGATATGATAATGATAACGGAAATAAACTACCAGAAAACAGAAGTCATTGACTTCAACTTGTTTTACGAGAAATTGGTTGACTAGTTGTTTTACGAGAAATTGGTTGGTGTTGGCGCTTGCAATAGTAGCAGACACGTCATTTTAAAGAAAAATAAACTTCACATACTTTTCCAAACAACTAAATGAATATTTAAAGCTACCGAATTATTTTTTGCATCAGAATCCAATTAGAGTCAATAAATTGTACTGAGACACTGTCGTTCTATGTCGTCTTTAGAGCTGAGTGAGTCACTTGCTTCATTTTATTTTTTCTTCTAACCAAAGACATTTTTTCTTGAAGGCATTTCAAAGACTTTATTAAAAATACTTATAGCTAACATTTTGGACAGTCTTCAACACTGCCTTCATTCTTTGACGCTGATTGAAACATGTCCGATCTTGTATGCGATTTACCAGAGAGATTAGACTACCAAGAGCACTCAAATCTAAAGAAGTCTCCCAACAAACGAATTCTCATTCAAAGAGTGTGGCTCCAGAATTCTGATAAAGGGAATTCACCCAAGAAGTCCTTAAGTCGGGGTACTTTCAGATATTCCTTCATTCTTAATAACCACAGCGGTCGCTGATTCAGCGCGACGATAAACGCATTTTTGCCATGAATTCAATCAGACATCGTTCAGCGTCGCAATTAAGTCAGAGGGGGTGGCGAAAGACGAAACCAGTGATGTCACTCAACGAGTTCCAACACGCGGAGGGGGGGAGGCAAGAGCACCCCAAATCTCTGACTCAGCCTGGGCGTCGGAAAACTTTCCGACCCATTTTATAGAACTTTTTATTATTTCTGTTTTCTTTTTTCGATCCTCACCTCGAGGGTTTTCCGCCTCTGGATGAGGGACATTGAGTGCCATGTTTCGTATCTCTAGAAAATGTTTGGGTGGTTCGGCAAGCTGATGTTCTTTCTCATCAACTGTGTTTCCAGACAGTTAAAAAAAAGAGAAGGCGTAAATTCCCTAGGGATCCAGCCAAGAAATTTTAATCCCACGGGATTTGGAATCTCAGCTGCAGGTGCAAAAATAGGCTAAAAAAGAAATAAGGTGCGAAAAGCGCAGAAAAGGGGGCTAAGCTAAATATCAACACCTTGAACAATCCTCACGACTGACAAAATACTCTGGAGAGCTTCTAGTCTCTTAAAAAAAAAAAAAAAAAAGAGAGAGAGAGAGAGAGAGAGAGAAGCTTTCCCCTTAATTACGACGAATTGTGAAATGCAACAAATACAGAAATTTTGCCAATTATGAAAGTAACTGCGACGGACGGACAACTGATTCTTAAGTCTAAGGCCTGTTTTCTCAATAACCAAAAGATATTAGAGCATACATTCAAAATTAAAATTACATCCTGTTGGAAGAAATAAGTTCAGCATCGAGCACTCCCTAAGCAGGATTTATTGGAAGTAGAGAAGTTTAATACATTTTAAAGTGTTTCACGATGTTTCATTCTCATATCATTGAAAATAAATAAAGCTACATATGTCTTTTACCTCTAAAGGAACAGAATATCAACGCTGCTTTTCCAGTCATTAACTTTCCTAATTTTTCAACATTGTCTGCCATTCTGCTCCTCAGTGTTAACATTTGTTTTCCATTTTTCAACTTAAGCCATCTTCCACAGCAAAATGTTCCGAACACGACTACTCAGAATTTCAGATCTCAGTCTTTTGCAAAAGTTTTCGTCAAAGCCGGATTGATGAAGACGAAGGGGATGCGTCACCTGAACTTCTCGGATGTCTTCATATTAAGGCAGAGCATAGTTTTACATTGCTTTTCTTCGAGTCTGTAAAATGAAAATATTTTGGTACGCAGCGCCTTTGAGATATCCATAAATCTACTCATGATGGTCCCCTTAGAAAGATGACGTTCAAAATTGAAGTTTACTTGTGTTCAGAAAAATATCAGTCCTTTCAGTGGTGGTCATAGGCCATCAATAGCCGATGAGACCGCTGAACATTGGTTACTCGAATCCCAACGAACGGCTGGTTAAGTGTTTTCGTGGTTTTCCTCCTGTGTAATGACAATGGCAGCCAGTTTCCTTTAAAAAGATCTCCACGAAGGCATCTTTCTCTTAGCCCTTCAGAGCCTTTGACACAGGATTCACAACAACAACAACAGCGATGACCGTTTATGGAATGTAGTTTACCGATGATGTGTCACTATATTTCAGAAATTTGCTGAAAACCAGAATTCAATTTTTTCGGGGGGGGGGTACTTCAGTCACGTACTCTGGAAAACTGATTACAACAGTTATTTCAAGGTACTCGCTAAAGCGAATTCAGCATGCATTGAAATGTATGCTGAGATTTTCACTTATACAGATATGAAATCTCTTAAAAACGACTACTGAGGATTCCAGACAATTTTGTTCTTCTCTAGAGGCGGTCACTTTAGGTAATCAATGTTCAAAACTGAAGTTGATTTTTTTAGTATCAGAAATACTGGTCAATTTTACAGGTAGTCGATATTAGAAGTTTCATCCATCCTTTTTTAAAGTAACCTTTCTAGAGACAATTAGATTTTTTCCGAAGAACGGAACACGAAACGTCAACTGTGCAGTCGCCGGAATTTCAGCTACTGACTTTTCATTGCTATCAGAACATACCAAACACTTACACCACAAGATCATGCACAGAAGAATACACCGGTTACTTACATATTCATTTACGGTTCAAGAATAATCCATCCGTTATAGACAGAAAAAGCTCGACTTGTTGCGGATCTTCAGTCTATATTTTGAAAATTACAAGATGAATAAACACAGACATTATTGTTATTTATGTCTGAAGAAACTAGTTGACCAAAAAGCTTTAAAAATATTTACTAGTTTTAGTGAATGTAGAACAAGCATAAACACGATAGACTTCATTCTAAACCTGGTGTCATCAAAATGCAGTCCGCAGCAAGCACGTGTATGAACAAAACAAGAAAGCATATAATTTTTAATAGCGCGTGGCTTTATGGGTCAAGTTCAAGAGTCAAAGTTTTAAGCAATGCGTGGGCTAGAGCAATAAAAGAAAACAGATAAAAAAGAATCAAAATGGCGGCACAGCGAGGTACTGTGTGCCTGGAAGCAATGTTCTTCTTTTTATTCGGTCATTGGCTCGCGAAAATGAATGCTTACACTTTATTCTCAACATTCCATAGACTCTTCGATAATAATCGTACAGGTTATAAGTGAAACTACGTAGGGATATTTTTTTTAAATTGCTACATTAATTTGTAGGCTCCAGAAAATCTCAAACCTATAATTTAGCAA